GATACAACATGATTTATGAAATTAAGATCTTAGAATAGTAAATTCAACTGAATTAATATTTTTATATTAAATTCAACTGAATGAAAGAAGGGTATCATGAACTTGAACTATCTATAGCACTTAAAACCAAATTATTAGTGAGCTCGAATTGATTTTGAATCAATTCGATCTGAACACCCTAGATTACAGTTAACATTTGAAAAGCATACATAAATACTGATTTTAATATGCACATTCAAATAAATTACATATAATATCTCAACTATTTGAGGTTGTTTATTGGATCAATTGCCGTCACTGATCTCTAATAAAAAGCAATATTGCAATGTGCAATGTTTGACTCCATATTATGCACAGTGATGAACACATAAAACAATGCATTCAAGTACAAGTCATGGATGATTTTGGAACTCGAGAAGCTTCATCTCTGAGGGGTTTTATTCTAAGCCTCTTATGATCTTTTTTTATAAACCGAAGCTTACTTGTTGGGATCTATTAACTTCTTATTTACAGGGTTTATATCTTATGGATGATTTATTTAGCCTCTTATGAATATTTAGGGTTTACCTTAATATATTTTTGATGCTGATTTCCTTGCTCTTGTCAAGCTACATATGTCCTTAAATTGTTTTTTTTCCTGTTGATATGGTAACTAGCTAGTCCAATTAAAACAATCAGTGGAGATCTATGATCTCCTGAAATAATCCAAACAACATTTTTCTAGCAAGGGGATCACTATCACATCCTCTGCAATCTTATCATGTTTGGTCCTTTGTGCCATTAATTGGGAAACCCCACATCCTTTGTGTTACTATCACATTCAACTTTGCTACTTCTGAAGCATTCCCAAACAAATATATGTATATATGTACATGTATGTATGTATACATGTACATATGTATGTATGTATATGTATGTACATACATATGTATATATATGTATGTACATATATATGTATACATATGCATATATATATGTATACATATGCATATTTATGTATATGTAAACATATGTATACGTATATATATATGTATATATATGTATATATATATATATACATATATATATATATACACATATATATATATATACACATATATATATATATACATATATATATATACATATATATATATATATACATATATATATATATATATACATATATATATATATATATATCGCTTGGATCATAACCCCCCCCACAGATGCTCAATGTCAAAAAAAGCCTAGACTTGAACCTATTGTCACTGGGACCATGTAATTCTATGTGTCTGACACAGATGCTCAATGCCAAAAAAGCATAGACTTGCACCGATTGTCACTGATCAAAGTATTCTTGTTCGCTTAATTCTTCTGATCTACATCAGATCCCACTTGGGACCATGTAATTCTTATGGCCATTTGAAAGCACAGCATATTGACAAGTCTAGTGCTGATAAAGAAATGGCTTTCATGGAGATAGGCAGGAGGGATTGTTCAGGTCCCACCATATTATCTGGTGGAGTGTCATGAGAAAGGCTCCATAACATTCCTGGACTGTTGTTACTTTTATTGTTTGGTTGCTAGGTTTTGCACTAGGAATTTGGAGGATCTTTGATGGATCAGGCTCTTCCATTCACTTTCTTACTTCTTGTTCTCATCTTCCTTTCTTTTGGTGCTTGTATTGACTGGGTGTTGTACTTTGGAAGAGTACGGGTGATGGATCGGATAGAAAGATTCAGAACCACAAGATGGGCACTGATAGATTGAGAGAGGAAGACAGACAAAAGATAACAAGTTCATAAGCAGGTGAGAAACAGGAATAATTAGTAAAATATCACAACAAATTAGCAAGTCAGTCAGTGAAACATTCTATTTAATGATAAGCAGATAAAGATTAGAGAGGGAGACAGACAAGAGTTACAAGTTAATAAGCAACTGAGGAACACGAAGAATTCGTATAAATAAAATAAATTAGTGAGTCATGTTATATGATGAAGTGTCAGAATGAATTTATGCTGATATTTAAACAAAATTTTGAATGCTTATACAAGGACAATAAAATTGCATCATAGATTTGTCAGCAGATATCAGAAACGAATTAATTGCAATTAAAATATTTGTGAGTAAGAAATATTCAGATCAATAATTTATTATAATTAAATAGATCAAATAAGGATGTTAAAACTGAAAGAGAAAAAAAAAAAAAAAAAAGGACCGATCAAGCTATTTGCTTTTCTGATGACCAATTCTCACAAATTAGAATTTGTAGGACATTTTAGAACATGACCAAAAGATGAACCACATTTGATGCCTACATTGAAAGCTAAGAGAAGTCAGTAATGAATAATGTGAGGGAAGAATACTAATAACATCCTAGTAATGGTAATGGAAACACCCAGTATCTTTTGAACTTGAGATTGTAAAATGCAAACTGATAAAAAGGTCTAATGACAACTTTATGTTATACGTAATTATCAATGATGCAGATGAATTCACTCCCTCAAGTACCTGGACGATTGGAGCATCTATAGACAAAGTCGGATGTTCGATAAGTTTGTCTTCAACCAGGCCATTAGCCATCCAACATGCAAGAGGCCTTGTGATGGTGTTGGTGGACAACAGAGGATGAAGATGGATGCCGAGATAACAGGGAGGTCGAAAACGATTTTTTCTGGGTGCCGTTAAGATCTTTGATCAGCTGGATAAACAAGATCTGGATAATCAAAGATCTTTGATCTTTGATTAGTTGCAGGCATATACTGTCTTCGATGACTTGACTATAGCACCTACTAGGAATACCATGAAAGGAAAGATTCATACAACAAAATAAGTTGTCATTTTTGCATCAACTCAATAATGATGAAAAAAACAAAATATAATAAATATAATAATATCAAATAGTAACCTTGAGTAGTTTAATCCCATCACATCTTGTTTCGTTGAGGTAGTAAAATTAACTGCAAGCATATAGGCAGCAATAAAGGTAATCCATCCACAGAATCACAGAATAAAACAAAAGGAGAAACACAAACGTAAACAATACTTGCAAAAAAAAAGAATCAAGCTAGTGAACTACAGGGATTAAAAATTTAAAACTGATGCGAACCAAATCTCCTCAACGAAAAAGTTAATATTAACTCAAGCAATCCATCTTGAAAAAACATAAACAAAGCAGAGTGATTGATAACAGTTTTATGGTCACAGTTGATAGAGTGATCAATAACAGTTTTAAGATCATATTTGTCAACGTTAGAGGATAAGTGAAAGAAGCATAGACCTTTTGAATCGTTGAACATACATCAACTAGACACAAAATCAAATAAAAAATGTAATGAATGCTAATAATAAGGAAATCAATGAAGAAATACAAACGTACTAACCTGCATAACAATCTCATAGTGGAGACTAACTCGTAGACCACTTAAAACCATGTCACACAATCTCCATGGAGTAGTTCATTTATGTAACAGGCACTGACCTTTTAAAAGTGCGAAAATCTTTAGAAGTCTGTTAACATCAGTAGTCAAATATAAAAATGTAAATTAACATCATAAACACATTTACAACTAAGAAGAATATCCCAGAACGAACACGGTAGAAAAGGTTTCAGGAAATGAATGCTGGAAATGGCTAGAACATGCTAATATGACAAATGGAGACTACAGATAGTTTCATGTCCTGGAGAAAAGGCTGGGACAGAGAATTATGTGTCCTAGAAATGAAACAACTGACCATAGGTAACAAACCTCATCTAATCATATTTGCTGTCTGCAATGCTGCGATGACACGTAGTTTTGGACAGGCTAGAATTGCACTTTCACTGTTGCGGTTGAGGGTGGCTCTGCCATGATGGATGAATACTGGAGCTAGTCTTCTGCACAAAAAAAGAGCCTCCACTCTGTCTGGATTGATACTCATTAAGGACTCTGCTTCCAGTCCCTGAGCCAAAAAATATAGTCATCTTGGATAAAATAGGATACTTAGAGGTTGTTGAGCTTCCAACAGTTTGGATCAAACCCTAAGATCCACAGGACAAGAGACTCAGACTCTGTTGGCTGATTCATCAATTCTATCCTGGAGAGATAGATATTGAAGACAAGAAGCCCATTGCCTGTGGGATATGGTGTTGAGGATTGGTTGTTGTCATTGCCATTCAACTGCTTGGGCTCCTTTAGTTCTACATAAGCTGGTGTAACTTGGAAGTGGCTTGGTAACATACTTAAGATATACTTCATAAATATCATTAACCACCTTAACATATCTGGCAGAATCTTCACCCATGCAACAAGCTTCATTGTGACTCAAGGTCCATAACCACTGAAAATGCTAAAACAAGGCTTTTAATGTTTCTGATATTTGTCATACTTTTCATGCATCTCCTTAGGTATGGTGCTCACCATGGTGTTCCTGATTCAATGTTGTGTTAATTAGCTCTAGCTGGATTTCTCGTGCTTCTTGAAAACTATATATTTGCAGTTTCCTCTATTGTTGTGAGGATACTACTCACAGAGTCATACAAAAGTTTTAGGTGTGGAGAAACGATCTCCAGTATCTTCCAGTGACCCAGTCATGAGCTGATAGAGCTTCATTATAGTCATCAGATCTCAATTTGTAAGGCTATCTCAGCAAATTTTCCTTCCTGCACTCAAGAAGCTTTACAAATTTCACACTCTCCTTATTGTTGAAAACAAAATCATAAACTAAAGCAACCACATCTATGCAATTACATTCAAGATATTAGCATAACAATGTACAACAAACAACTGACCTTTCATCATAAGAATGTTCTTGTTGGAAAGATCTCTAAGATTAGCACTATAGACGTCATGTGTTGAGCAGTTGTTGTCTAAGGTGATAATGAACAACTTAGTCTTCATATTCCAATTTGAAAAGCTAACACCAATTGCTTCACTAAGTGTATTTTCTGGATGAGGTGAAGATACCATCATGAAATTAAACATTCTTCTATGCAAACTCCAGTTACTGTCAATGTATTGCCAACTAACAACTGTTCAATCTGGGTCTCAGCAAGATTTCCTCTACAATTTATCCTACTTTGTATCATACTAGTTATCTCTTTGACCTGCCAAAGAATGATGGATATTCACCTTGTAATCATTACAAAAGCTGTCTGTGCCGAAGTGACTGACCTGGAACAAATTTCTCTTAACTTCACAGCAGTAATACCACCAGCACCACTACAACACCGACAAGCAGTAAAGTCCCAACCATTTGGGATCAGAATCTTCTTCTGTCATTGAGCAAGGATACCAAATTATGGAAAATGGTAAAAGCAATGTGTCATGATCAACAAATTTTCAACAAAAATATCTATCTATTCACTCTGGTATTTTGTGTATATCGTTATTCTCTTCAGGAAGGATGTATCTCTTAATTTTGCCAACTGCAGTTGCTTCACATCAAGAATCACATTCCATCTTACAGCATCAACCACCTACTGAATGTTCATGAAATGTTGGCTCATTTTCTACTATTTGAGAACTCAGTTAAACTTATCTGCTGTTTATGACGAATGGCTTGTGGTCAGACCCTCATACAGCAAGAATGGAGCCTGACAATAATAAGAACAAAGTTCGAGATTACCGTCAGTTTGTAAAGCGAAGCCATTCATGGGATGACGGCGAGCTACCAGTGCTGTTTGATGCTGCAAATACCCCTTATGCATTTCAACAAACACGTCGTGACTGCAATCACACCTCCGGAACTGTGCATGGGTCACACATAGGACCTACGTATGAGAACTCCAGCGGTTGGTGGCTCCCTTAAAGCTCCATCCCTTCGCCATATCCCGTCTGCTGTGGTCGTCTCTGCATCACCATGACAGGAGCACCGCGTGGCCTCCGAGCCGAAAGTGCCATCCAGCAAAGGAATAAGAGGAAGCTGGGTGCTGATATCATGATCCCAGTACCTGCAGGCTCCAGCTCTGCCCATGCCGAGCTCAATTTCCTCGGTCTCGTATTCGTCAAACTGCCCCTTTTCTTCCACGACCAGCTCCACCAACCACTGAGAAAGCTCCATCTATTAGTTGTAAAAGGAGGGAGTCTAACTCGGTCTACAAAACGACATGAAACGTCACACATGCAGCTGTGTCCACCGATGCAGGAAAACTCTCCCTGAGGTGTCTCCTTCCTCTTCATACAGGAGCAAGGAAGCTTCTTCCTCCCTGCAACAGCACGGTCACGTCGTCATGCCATGGCCCCGTTCAATTCTTTTCCCCCCCCAAATAGTTTATCGCTGCTCCTTCATGCCTCATGTCACCTCAGATTCTGATCGACATTCATATGCTATACACCATCTGCAAGTCAACAAAACAAATGTTCGTCAACATTGGAGGTTCTCACAGCTGTTAAAAGCCACACAGATGTTGACAATGGACGTCCGTCGTCAGGACGACAATGAAACGATCAGGCATTAGGTCGAACAACTGTTGGACAACGGAATTCGATGAGACAGAACTGGGACGATACGCTGCTCTCTGCAGGAGCCGATCATGGTAGATCACCAACGACAGTCGCACAAAATCTTGGGATTCAATCTTCATATAAAAGAAGCTGTATTATACGGAAAAATAAATCTATGAAATAATATTTGGATTATATAATATCTAAACTATTATATATATATATAATTTATTATAATATATAAAATAATTTTTTCAGAATAAAAAAATAAAATTATTTTTAGAAAAATCGTTCATCATCAAATGGGTTCTAATTTACCGTCTCGTGAGGACGTATAAAATCTTAACAACTCAGCTCAGCTATTATGCGACCATCAGATCGGCTGAGTTCACTCTCGGATTTGACGTGGACATGTACATGTAAGTGCTGCTGTGTGATCACGTTGATGTTCCATCCAAGTGGCAGCCTGTGGAAGATCAAACCCGGTCTACGAGTAGGACACTGATGCATCATCATCATCATTATGTCGATGTCAGATCAACTCGATCCATTCAATGAATCGATACACGTCCTCATCATCTTTCTGAGTCCAAACACCAAGCATTGATCCTAAATTCTTACATTTAAATCAAGCATGCAGATCAAAAGTAGTTCGAGTCGGACCGGACAAATCATAAATCGAGCCGGTTAAATCGAACAAGAACCGATATTACGAAGACCGGTTCGGGTCTGGTGATTGAGCCCGAAGTGAAGTGTTGCGGGACGCATAAGGTTAAAGCGCACGGACGCGCCCACCGCCACGTACGGACGCACAGGCGGCGGCTCCGTGCTACGGTCAACCGGCTCGTGCGGTGCGAGCCACAGAGTTCAAAGGCACGAGGGGATAGGAGGAGGAGAACTCGCCCGGGCATTTCGACAAGCACTTGATGCTCCACCGATGGGAGCCAGTTCGATCCAGCTGTGGCACGGCAGAAGCAATTCAACGATGACAACGACCGCATCCTTCGCATGTCTTCTCCTCCGCTCGATTGCACTGCGTGCAACAAATCCAATATATGAGTAGAACATCCACCCTTTGAATACGATCTTCTCTCTTACGTACAACCACGGACATGCAGCCCGCTGCATCAACATCTGCTTCATATTATATTCGCTTAATGCTACAGAATAAGGATATGAACTGCATGTTGTGAAGCCCACCGAATTCTTATCCATCTTGCGTAGTTACTAGGAAGCTTGCTTTCTCCTAAACAAGCTCCATGTGTCGAAATAACACGCATCATCCCATCGCCTATATATATGCTTCCACAAACTCTTCGTCATCTCGACTCTGACGAGCTGAAGATTGTGGTGCGGAGACAGCCATGGAGCATGCGGAGGAGATGAGAGCAGATGCGGCGGTGCATTATCGAGGGGTGAGGAAGAGGAAATGGGGCAAATGGGTGTCGGAGATCCGGGAGCCGGGGAAGAAGAGCAGGATATGGCTGGGGAGCTTCGAGTCGGCGGAGATGGCGGCGGTGGCGCACGACGTGGCGGCGCTGCGGCTCAAGGGCCACGACGCGCAGCTCAACTTCCCGGAGTCGGCGGAGCAGCTGCCGCGGCCCAGGAGCTCGGACCCCAAGGACATCCGCTCCGCGGCGCTGGAGGCGGCCGCGAGGCTCCGGTGCAAGACCACCACCGCTCGGGCCGGGATGTCGTCGGCGCTGGAGCGGCTCGGGAACGACGAGCTCGGCCTCGACTCCCCCAAGATGTGGCTGGACCTGGCCGAAGCGCTGCTGCTAACCCCACCGGCTTGGAACAGCGAGGTGAGCGAGCTCGAGGACTGGGAACACCATGGATCCTTATGGGATCCCTTCCCGTAACCTATATATATCGCATTAACTCACATCCTTGTATTTAATGAGGATGATTGGGTGCTTTAACTCCATAAATATTGACTCGAAATGTACTCTATCTATTCTTGATGCATAAAAGCCAAAAGAAATGCATGTAAGTGCAGTTCTTGGTTGCAGAAAGATGACAGCCAAGACTGCAGAGCATAAGAGAGCATTTACTGTCTGTTAAGCCTCTCAGTTTGATCTAATCGAATGATGTTTGCTTGGGAGAGAACATAATAGATTGGGACAATGGAAGCATCACCACGCACACTATGTGGAAATCAAGGTTCATGAACCTTCATTCTTATGCCGTTGGCTGTCACCGATGCAGCTCAATAGATAGACATACTGCACGAACAACACATAGACATTCACTAATCCATGCAAAAAGGGTCTCCTAAACCTGGTTTAAGTTTCTTTCTCTGTTGTATAAAGAACATTTTAATTGCAGAATTGAAATCTGAAGTCTTCAGACAAAGAGAGATGAACAGTGGAAGGGTTATCCGATAAGAGTACAGCAGACAATAGTTCCTAAGACTCGTCAGTGTACTTTCTGTGAATAGTCTAAGGTATTGAGTGCAGCTGGGAACCTTCCTAACCAAAGTCCAAAAACAAAGAGATGCTTGAACAGTCTCCCATCAGGAGACAATGAGGTTAGCACAAGCTATTGATTATTTAGATTTGTTCCAATGACAGACAGATCATTGTCTGCAGATGACATAATGCTGTGCACCTTAAATATTCTTCAGTACATGGATTCAATCTCAGAAGCAAATACAATATTAATCACCTGTGTTGCAGAATCATCGACCCATATCTTCTCAGGCAAAGACAAAAGCAGCACTCGTTTTAGAACTCACGCAAAAACGTGATGATTGAGAACAGATTTCACTTTTATGACAGCTATAATTGCAAGAAAACAATTCAAAGCCAGTCAAAAGGAACATGAGGAGGAGAAACAATGCCACAAACTATGATGGTGATGGAAGATATGAAGGATCCCCCGTGTCGGAAAGGGAGTAGCTGCTCTTCGTAGAGCAAGGAACAAGATAATCTGCATTAGGTGGGAAGAAAATCTGAGCATCTTTAGTGTTAGATATTGTTTTAGGTGTGAAGTTGCAGGATGTTTCCAATGGTCAATGGGTCCAACTTGGTCAAGGCACCATGCATTTGCTACCAGTAAAGAAGATAATAAAGCAACAACATTGCTGTAAGAGTGACCTCATGAGATTAATGAATGGTGGCCAACTGGAGAGATGGAGACTAAAATTCTCCTATTATATGGAGTATGTTTCAGTGGCTTTTCTGCCATCTCCTGCCACTTGTGTCATTCTTTTAATGCTCTTTTGTCAAGGATAGAGAGAGAGAGAAAGAGAGAGAGAGAGAGAGAGAGAGAGTACTAAGCATTGTGATACGATCCACACGTTTAATATGCTTTCTTTATTGATCAAATATGGTAGTGTGAAAACAAGCCTCGCTCAGAGTCAAAATCTGAGCTAGCTTGATAGCTACATGGCAATCTAAGTCACAGGAATGAGTGAGATTGGTTGTGTGAAATGAAGATTTGACCTCTACAGTCATTGAATCTTGCGAAGTTTCATGTGGAGGTGATAATGACAATTTCTGTAAGTTAACCTATCTGATGGGATTATCAAAGTATATAAAAAAGAAAACATGTACAACAACAGTAATTTGAGATCTGTTAAGGTCATTATTCAATTCTGATGTTGATTCAAATCCAACCAAGATCTTACTTGGCATCCAATCCCATAAAATTGGATTGAAAATATTTATGATAAAATTCATCTAATATTTAAATTATTTCAGGTAAGTGTCGAATCTATTTAAGAATAAATGCTTTGAAGTTGTTGTTATGGAGGATAGCTTTTTTATAGTATGATATGTTATAGTTAAATGATGAAAATAATTATCCATATTTTTATATAATATACTAACATTGATCACAATTGAAAATATTAACCTGAAATTTTTGGATGAGATTTTCTGATAATAACTTATGTGAATAACCTTGGAGTCATAAAATTAAAAGCCTATATATATACTATGTTAATAATCTTTGTTGTTAAATGTAATTTAGTTATTGGTTACAATTTTTAAAATATTAAGAGGTATTTTAGATTTTTTTTGTTTTATATAAATATTAATTAGAGTTAGAAAATATTAACGTACTTGATATTTGAAGTAATATATAAATATATATTAATTTTTATAATGATAAATATATCATTTCCAGAATTTTGAAGGATGCAAGAAAACAAATGTGATAGGGGATTCGGTTTGGATATCCGCATCCGCTACTAAAAACGGGTACGGGTATGTATTATTTAGATCCGACCCGAACATATGCCCTTATTCCGTTCCCAATCGATCGTTCTGCCGCCTCTGATCCTTCTCGCTCAAATCCTAAACCCCTTCTTCCCCTTGAGCACAGCGGAGGAAGAAATAAGAGATTGGGGGATTTCGATCTCGCCCCAATTGATGGATAATCTCGTCCTCCTCTCCAAATTCTCCGTCCCCGTAGCGGCTCCAAATCTTTGCGAGATCCCAAACAGGCGGCGAGCGGCTGGTTCTTCTCTTTCCCCGCTCCGTGCGGGACGCGGAAGACGAGCCGGAAACGGTGGGAGACGTCCCGGGTTCGTTTTCTTAGCCCTGAAGAATGGAAGCAGCGATCGAGCCCTATCTGATGCTGGTAATTTAACTACCTAGCATTTTGGTGAACCATATTAATTTCTTGGGTTACAGAAGAAGATATAATTGATTAGGGATCTTGGTTTATCACATAGTTTATAGACAAGTGTTTTTGCTGTTACACAAGCAAAGTATGTTGTGGCTTTAGCCACTTGCGTTAGATGGAAGGTTAAACATACAAATTTTGACACATAAAACATTAGTTAGGCAGTGATGTATCCGACTCAATTTTATTAGGTTGATGGTTCAAATCGTATCTCATAATTTTTACATTTAAAATATTTTAAGTTGAGGACTCAGAAACCTCATCCTACAAAAATTCTAAAGTACTAACTAGTTTAATTGATAAAAGATTTGTCAGATCATTACAAGGTATTGGGATCATATCCCACATTCATCACCTGCCGTTTGCGGAAAAAAAAGGACATGTTGTGGCCCTTTGGAGTGTTAAGTAGTATATTGATCAGTGAGTTAAAAATGCAATTTTTTTCTGTATAAGACATGAACTGTGAAGTCATCTTGATTATATGCACCGAGTATTCTTGAAGCGTATTATATTTATGTTTTGCAGCTTTGTATTAACATTCCTTTGTGCTATTCCTTGTTTTGCTGTCAATTGATTAACCATGTATTCTGTCTCCTGTGTCCGCTTATATTTTAGGTTATATTTCTGGTGATTTTTAAAAATTTTTGGTGGGTTTGGTTTTTCTTTATATTTTATTTCTCTTTCTGGTATAGGCCATCAAAAACTCAAGACACATGTTTTTGGAAGTGTCTCATCTTCAAGCAACAAAGAGCTGACAACTAATAGTGGAGTAGCACCACCTCTGGTCCCTTCATCACCGTCATCCATGTACGTTTGTACTTTGTACTGTCTGTCCTCGTGCTTGAAGTTGAGTGCATGTGGCTTTATCTTGGCATACATTTTTTATTGTGTAATTTAAATGCTACCACATAATTGTGAATTAATAAATTGTTGGATATTTATAAACTTAATGATGGAAGTCCTTTTTTTTTCCTTTCTGGGTATATGGCATTGAGGCTAATGTAATATCCTTTATCCCTTCTGTTATCTTGAGAATCTGCAGAGGTTCACCCCTGTTTTGGGTTGGAGTTGGAGTTGGTCTATCAGTAATATTCCAAGTGGTGAGTGTCTCAAAGTTCTTTTTTGTAAAAAAGTTTTCTTTCTTTTTGTACTAATTTTCTCTTTTTTCAAAACAATCTTGTTGATATGACAGGTGGCGGCAAAATTAAAGGTGAGCTCATTTCTTTTTAATACTCCTTTTGAAGAAGGTATGCTGTCCTTAGGGAGGTTGTTGCTGATGGAAGAAGGGTTTGAGAAACATTTGTTAGTGACCTAGGTGTTTGGTACTTTGCACTGATTATAGTGATATTGTCTATATTCTATCTTTTACTAATTTTCCTTGAATGCTTGAGAAAATACTTTACTGGTTTTAGTTATTACAAGGAGAAATGGCTCCTTGACATTTTGCTTCTTCATACTTTCCATGGCGATGTTGTATGCCTTTGCATCAAGGATATTGCTGGTCCTTTCATTGAAAGAATGGTGTAGTTAGTTCTCACCCTCTTCTTTTTTGTGTAAGAAGAATATATTGTTAGAATCTTCCCAGTGTTAGTTAACCAACATGTTGCCTGAACATATAACTGTAGGATGTATTGATTGAATCCTATTGTTGCTTCCTTTCATAATTAATTTTAAAATAATTTATTTATGGACTGTGGTGTTATTGGAAAACTTGTAGAAGCAACAACTTGCACTTGATATCTTCTTCCTTGTGCTTCTCTTATTACCATCTGAGTCTGCTGCAGCAACAAAATTATCTTATTATCTCTTTCCACTTACTGCTCTCTGTGCCATTTTTCTGATCTATGATCTAATCTTATGGAAGCTTTACTACAAGATAGGATCCATGCCTTTTCTTGTCACATTTGTTTGCATGTTACAACTTTTAGGCTCATTGGATCTTTATTTTATGCCTGTTGCCTGTTCCATTCTGTGTCATGCTGCATGGTTATGTGCTGCTGAGTGCTGACCATGCCAGAGTGTAAATTCTGGACATGCACCTGTAGTAATTTGACAGCAGGTTCAGTAAATAAAATGGTACATACTGTTTTATTGGTGAGCCAGAGTACCATGTGGCACCTCCTTTGTTGATTTCATAAAGCTGCTGCAACTGTTGTCATATCATCGATGCATATCAGCTTTTTTTTTTTTTTGACAATCTTATTGTGTCACAAGCTTGTTGACAGAACAAACTTATGAGTCACTTGTTATAGAGACATGCACTTCAACAAGCTTTCAAGACAATGATGGATCAAGCAGCACCTCAAGGTGGACAATTCAATAATCCTTCCTTTGGACCAGGCTTGCCTTTCCCGTTTCCTTCTACAGTATCATCACCTCCTACTGCATCAACTCTGTCAACGGCACATGTTTCTTCCCAGCAGCCTGTTACAGTAGACGTTCCAGCCACAAAAGTGGAATCAACTTCAACGCCTGAAATTGGAGATGAAACTCAATTAGAAGAAGCAAAACCAAAAAAAGCTGGTATGTCTTTCGATTTAACGCAACTATTATTAATTCATTTTTTCATGATAGATAAGCTTTATCATGATTAATGTTATCTGCTTTTGTGTTTTGGATAACAAAAGCCATTGGACATCACCGCATGGCTTCTAGTAAATCATTCCTGCATAGTGCATATGTGAGGGGAATACATGCTGTTGCTTGGATGTTTCTTATAATGTCTTAGCTTCTGAGGTTACATCATTAGGCCCTTTGGATCATCTCTTTCAACCTTATTCCTAAAGCTGTTATCTCAATATAAACCTTATTTTCAAAGTTTTATTTATTAACCTTGAGCAATGGCCAATGCTGTAAAATCCCTTAGCCCCCAAAAGACATTGTATCTACAAGAATATTGTTGTTATTCAAAATTTCAAGTAGGCCCATATTTTGATTGTTTATATAGAAGAAATCTTCTAGAGACAAAGGTAGTCATGGTGGCATGCCCACACGATATCGTTCACCTTAGAATTATTGTCTTGCTATAGTGTCTCATGGCAGATTTTGGATATCATAGGATTATCAGGTTCTCAGGTTGTAGTACGGATGTTACTAGATTTACAACAATCAAAAGATATGATCATAGGACTCTGATATTATTGAACTGAAGTTTTGTGACTTATTATATTTGCTCTTTGTTCACATAATAATCTTGTGTCAAGGATCAGTATCTGTATTCTGATGCCTTGTTTTATTTTTACATTAGCCTGCATATAGTTACCAGGACCATAAACAGAGTCGGATGGGCGCCGGTCTGTCACGGACAAACTTTGAAACAGGATGTTTGATGTAATGCTTATATCTGTCCGTGTCTATTGGCATGTTCATGCCTTGTACAGCGTGTAGAGGGGCAGCCGAAGGCTTATAAGTCCCATTTTAGTTGGGTGGTGGCCTCTTTAGGCTTGTCAATAAAGGTTGTGTCATGTGGACACGTGCGAGAGCTTTTCGGTCTGTAATGGATCATTTTATCCTTTGTTGTGCCACTGTTCAGAGCTTGTAAAGTCTGTTTGTAATTTGCATTGTCTATGAAGTGTTTTTCGGACATGTTTGCTTGTGGATCCCGATTGAGGCGTTTTCTCTAACCCGTTCTCTCTTTTGTTGGTCCTAAGGGACAATGGGAGGCTTCGGGGAGGCTGACCTTTGCGGACGGACACGCGAGGGTGCCGCACGACTTAGGCAAAACCAGCTAAGTCCGTGTCATATGGTATT